TTAAAAGAGGTAATTATGTAAACTTTAGCTTATTTTTTTAATTATAAAAGATATGGCCTATTTTTTTTAATTGTAATTTTTTTTGGACTATTTTCATAATTTTCCCATGTTGTATTATAGAGTTTTATGTTTTTTCATAGAATTTTAAAATTTTATGATAGAATTCTATGTTTTGTAACAAAGGTCTATGTCTTATTATAGTGTTTAATGTTTTTCATAGAATTCTAAAATTTTATGATAGAATTCTATGTTTTGTAATAAAGGCCTATGTCTTACTATAGTGTTTTATGTTTTTTAATAGAATTCTAAAATTTTATGATAGAATTCTATGTCTTTATATTCCAATTCTACATTTTTATAGTAGAATTCTATGTTTTTATGATAGAAAATTTTGCAATAAAAGTCTATCTTGATTTTGCACCTCTATTTGTATGATCAATGATTCATATTTCGTATGAGTCAAATTTTGTCTGTATTTCTCTAATTTCCTACTATGATTACAATATCTTTTAAAAAAAACCTAATTACATTAAAAAAAAAAATTATGTGTGTGTATTAAAGAAAATACCAATGTGAACCCTCTCTATCTCTGGTTATCTCAGAGATTGAGCTCGTAAACTTGGTCTTTCAAACCTTAACCGGTTTGTTCCTCAGCCGTATCACACAAGCAACCTGGAAGAGGGTTTGCATAAAAATTCTCCTCCAACTTTGGGCTCAAGCCTGCCTTTCCTGGCCTTCTAAGATACGGTGCTCCTACTCTATTCCGATGTCTTCTCTTAACCTCCGAAGAGAAATTTTCCCACGTCATGAGCCCCGCATCGAGCCGATCGATCAATTTCACGAATCTCAACCTGAAAAAACCCCTTAAAATGTCAGTCTTTTGCGCAATTGATAACCTAAAAAGGGTTTTCTTTTCGCGCAAGAAAGATAATCTGTACCTATCGGGATTAATCGTTTTTCTAAACCCTTCGAATCTTCGATGTCCCTGAACTGCTTTCGCCATGTTTCCATCGTAAGTATAAGCGAAAACGTCGCTTTCGAGTGCTAGATTGTAATCAAGAGCAGCTAATCTGTTCTGGAAAGGTTTAATAGTTAAAAGCTCTTCCTCAGTCGCCAATGTCGAGTGAAAGAAAACGTTTGGGAACTCTTCGTGGAACTCGGTCATGCTTTTCTGACCGTATATCTCTCCAGCAACAATGTAGATCTTTGTCGTCGAAGGAAACCCCATTGCCTTGAGGAACACGGCAGCTTCACGCGGTGTCATAGGGCAATTACCTTCAAGTCGCCGTTCTGTACCATTGATGACTTTTTCTTTCCAATGCGGAATACTATATCTCATCTTCTCAAGATCAATCGATTCCTCCTCGGTTAGACTGTGATTGCAACCGGTAAACGCCAACATATCTTTCTCATACCTATAAGAAAATTTCCGATTAATCGATGATTCTCAACATTCATTATAGAGGGAGAGATGGAGTAACAGTAGAAGCTTGTACCTTAAGTGAAGAGCAAGGTAGGGTTCGTTGTTTTCTCTAAGTCTTGAAGAGAGAACTTTGCTTAGATTCTCTATTTCTTCAGAGTACCGAAGAGCTTCATAGTTTGCGCGGCATCTAAGCCGTTGGATCTTAGGAGGCGGACTGTTATTCGCTAGCCGAGAATCAGTGTGGTTGAATACAATCACCTTATGCTTCTTCAGTAACTTTGAGATTGAGTTTCTGTAATAACTCGCCTTCGCAATCAAAACCATTTATACAGCAGAGTTAGCTATAACATCAAGAAAACAGAGAACAAGCTAAAAAAAAAACAATGAATTTGATTTGAGAGGGTCTATACCTTAGACCAGGACACAGGATTCTTTTCAAGAGGCTTAATCGAAGCAAATTCTTGCGGTAAATACTCGACGATTTCGACATCTTCTGCTAGTACATTGATGAAATGTCTCCAATCGAAAATGTCCTTAAACGTACTAGAAAAAGAGAACAAAACACAAAGCTTAAGGTAATATTGAAACTGATCAATT